TTATTATTATTATTATTTCTTAATGATGTTCCAATTTATAAAAATCTGGCTTTTATATATATATATATATATATATATATATATATATATATATATATATATATATATATATATATATAAAAGAAATATGTTGTAGTGGTTCCAACGAGAGAAAAGTATGTATATTAAAAAAGAAGGCCGTCTTCAGGTAAAAGTGGAGATTTTACATATTATTAAAAATAATTAATTTTTTCTTCATGTTCAATGTGAAATATTCTCGATATGAGACATTCTCTGTTTGTGTGTTGGTAATCCGAATTTCTTTCTAGAATTGTCGCGAGACCAGAAACACGTGTCGTAAAATTATGTAAAACAAAGCATAATATTTTTTTCTAAATAAATCCACATTACAACCAAAAACGTTAGCGGCACCTCTTCTCTTCTTTTTAATATATATATATATATATATATATATATATATATATATGTGTGTGTGTGTGTCTCTGTGTGTTTGTGTGTGTGTGCATGTGTATATGCGTGTTTGTGTGTATAAGGAATATATTGTATTAGATTGAATCTTGATACATACCTTCCCATCGATAAACACACGCCAACCAAACTTTATAATATCATTCAAAGATGCTCTACCACAACTTACATAAAGTGGCTCTGACGAACTACATTTCTTGGTCCCGCCAAGGCAAAACTTCATAGCAAGAACACGCCATGCCACTTACATGGTAGCAAACCACCCCCATTTCCTCTGTATTCCATCAGTGAGAAGAAAGTTCCACTCGAACAGCTTCCTCCCTCGAACCACTGCTCTGTGGAACCAACACCCACGAGGTTGTTTCCCCGATCACTACAATCATTACCTGTTCAATGCCATCATCTTTTCCACCTATACACACAAATAGCTCCTAAAAGTAACCCTCGAAATCGAGTGGCCACCTGGCCTTATAAAGGGTGAAACTTACTGCAATATATATATATATATATATATATATAACTTTTAAATACAACTATACGAATATTAATGATGACTGCAGCGAGAAGCGGAGAATGAAATGTGTTCGCGATCCTCTTTTGCGGCTATGTTGGGGTCGAAGGTCAGAAGCAACCAGATGTAGAGACATAAATACACTAATAAGGATTTTTAAGGATCTTTTTCAGCGGGGCATAAAGATCTTAAAATATAGTTTACTGTTTTATGTGCAACATCAAAGAAAGAGAGCAAGTCATGAAAATACTCACACTGCGGTTATATACATAAAATTTACATCTTTATCACTCTGTTTGCATAGATGAATATATATATATATATATATATATATATATATATGTGTGTGTGTGTGTGTGTGATGAATTATACGTAAGTATAGAAGACATCTGTGCTCATGCTTGTAAAATAAATATTGTCTCTTAATAAAACCTGATTTATTGTATATCTAGTTTTTGCTCTGAAATAACGTACATATTTTTTATACATTCCAATTGCTAACGATGTTCATGCACGTGACATTCTCGGATTTTTCTGGCTAATTCCAGGTGAGTTGTGCGCCACATGAAAGCCGTTTACAACATGGATACTTTTCTTTTTTTTTAACTTTGAGTTTTGAGCAATATTTTAGGTTATCCGATTATATGTTGGTTATCAGAGCATAAAGTGAAGCCAGTGTGTGGTGTTCAATATCCGGTCGAGTTTATTTTAGGTTCACTTAGCGCCTATTCCCTTGAAATAGAAGTGGAAACATCTTCCTTCAGTGGAGGGTTAAATATCAGTAGAGAGAATACTCTATTGACTTGAAGTGTCAATCAGTCAATGTAAAAACCTCTGTGCTAAAAGCTAGAGATGGATTCCGAAGGACCTATTTTGCCTTATAAACTCTTTTACTGGCATGACTGTAATATATATGTTGCCCCGAGGTCTCTTTTTCATATATCCTTAGAGATTGTCTTCACCTCTTATTTTTTAGCCCTCTAGCTTGAATGGCTCTTGGGCCTTGTACATGGCGAAAATTATTGTAAAGAAAATAATTACAAACGCTAGAGACCGACATATACAAGTGACATATCTTACTAAATCAACCCGATTCATAATTAAAATGGTTTCCCTCTGAAAAGAGTTAAAATGATCTCAAGTAATACCACGCACATTGGAGCAAACCGCTCTCATTCCGTTTGTATTCCAAATTGAGGAGGCTATATTGAATGAAGCAGGATCTCCGTACTTAATTATATAGTCTCTTCCTGTGTGAATCGGGTAACATATGATGTTGAATTGCCATGGGAAAGCAACACGTCCTTACGGTTAGCCAAAGTTTAGAGCTTGTGTTCAGTGAAATTTTTGTTTATGTATTGCTTCCAATTTTCATCTGTCGCGAAGAACGAGTGTCCCCTCAGAGAGGACCGTACCTTGAGCGCCTAAGTTCAACCCAGACCTTATGTGATTTAAGTACATAGGATCCATTTATAAATTTGAATGACAATAGGAAAACTGTAGTTATTGCTGACGCGTTTCGTCCAATGTGGACTTTCTCAAAGCAAAAAACGAAATGAATTTAATTAAAGAAAGTAACTAATAATAACAAAAAACAGAATGTTCTTAGCAACTGGAGGAATGTAGAGAACGTTATTTTCATTAACTGAAAATAACGTCAGTTATTGTCACGTATGCAGAGTATTGTCATTATAACTGTGTTGGCGGATTCAACCATTTTCTTTTGATTTTACGATATTGTTGTGTACGTTTGTTTGGGAGAGCAGTAATTTTGTTAAGAAAGGTGAAATAGGGAAAAGCCTGGGCGTAGATTAATATTTAGGTAATATTCTATGTCGGCACTCTCTAGAATTTTCATTCTGAGTGAGTTATTTTCTTTTTTTTATGGTGTTGCTTTTTTAAAATC